GAAAGAATAGAGAAACTGAAGGCAATCAGTTGAACAAAAACAAGTTGTTAAAATTCACAGTGTATTCTATGTTGAGATTTTAGAAATAAAAAAAGATGAAAGTAGATGCATTGTTTTGTGGATTAAATCAGACAAGAGAGCCAAGCTTTTCAAACTCCCTTTTTTGATCAATTCACAAAGAAAAATTATGTAAAATTCCTTGTGGCTTTCAGTCACATTGACTAATATGGTAAAGGATTTCTCCCTGACATTTTTGCTTTAAAAAGAAGTCCAACCAAATCCTAATCTGATAATAAAGCAAAAACTTGTTTTTCTAAGTATTTTATGCTATTTAACATTGTGTTCTTAGAGAGAAGTCAAGTGCTGTGTTGGTTTGACTTGGACCATGTATTATAGCAAGGAAATATGAAGCCTATGATGAAAAAGGCACTTTTCGCTCACTGGACTGAGAATCAAAAGACACGAATGATACTTTCAGCTATGCTACTAATAAGCTGTGAGAAGCTGGGCAAGTCAATTTCCATTTCTGAATACTTTATCAAGGAGGGGAATCATTAGCCCCTTTTGAGAATCTGATGAAAATGCACAAATACATAAATGCCTATAATTTTACATAGTATTTCAGAGAGTTTGCAGACTTCTTGGAATTCTGGTCTCCACTAATAGGTAATTAGCATTAGGAACCGAAAACTAGATCATTCCTAAAGTACTTTCGCATTCTACGTTTCTAATACAATTTGCGAACATTTTGTCCTGAACTATTTTGTTAACCAGGAAAAAAATTTGAATGGTGCAAGTAAAAGCCTAGCTGTACTACTTTCTCCCCTACTTTTTGCCTTTGCCCATTGCAAACAAGATTCTTCTTGCGCAAATATCCTACCGGACAACTTGGCACAAGGAATATTTGAATGTAATTATTCTTTAAATTTCCATGTCTTTGGTAATTTGCTAGTATATGACTGTGATTTGCTTGTACATAAGGTCAAAGATCTGAGGCAATGCATCATAAAATAATCATTTATGTTTTCTTTACCAAGGTTCATCGAATCTTTTAACCTACACTGTCTGCTGTAAAGTTAATTTTCCGTATTAGAGCAATACTCAGATTAGCCTTTTAAAAATTACACTATAAAAAAATGAACATAAGTCAAAATGAAGGGCATCGGAAGCAAATAACCTTTGGTAGTTTTTCTTGGAAAACCATACCTTAACCACATTCCTCTAGATTATTTAAGCTGTTTAGCATATTAAAACAATTTATACCTAACCCAATAAAATTTGTAATACATATGTTCTGGAAGAAAATAGTTGATAAATTAAGAAACATCTCACTGTGGAAACAGTCTATTAAAATTCCTAACTTATTAGATGTTTTCTTTTGTCTATGAGCTTTTATGAATTTGTAACTGTGCCATAAAAACATAATATTTTAATATTACAAAATTTGAAGTACATACATTTGATTTATTCTGTATTCCTGTAAGTTCCTCTGTCAAATAAAGGATTTCAAGGATGTCAGACAGTCCTGTATCTATCTCCGTCTCTAAATTGATAATAACTGAAGGATCTATAGTTTTATGAAGCTATCAAGAGAATTTGCTGGGAAATTATTACATTTTACTCCATAATAATTGAACATACAGTCTAAGAGAAGTATGTTAGTTAGCACAAAATATATGTTGCTTTCAAGTTAGCTTTCTCACCTTTTATTTTTCATACGTTTTCTTTGCCCAAACTGGTTTTATATATACCTTTTCCATAAGTTACAACAACTCTAAATACTGTTTTTAATGATGAAACACCAGGAGCACATTTTATTAGTCTAGTTTGCTTGCCTTTACCATGCAAAGTTGGCCTTGCATGAAGGTAACTTAGGAAGAGGAATAACACTAAATGATTGCTAGCATCTGGGAGACAATTTTCTAAATTTTCCATTCATTTATGCATTCAAGATGTATTTGTTGAGCTACTTCTATTCTACACCAAATGATGTTCCAGGCCCTAGATATGCATCAGTGAACCAAACTGAAAGAAACTCTAGTTCTTATAGATTTTCAAAGAGGTGGTATTGGCGAGAGAAGGAAACAAACAAGCATTAACGTAGAATAATGATAAGTACTAGGAAGGAAAATACAGCATTACTTATAAGTTAAGAAAATAAATCAACTACTAATCATCAGGAGCAAGAAAATTTATTTTTAAACCAATATGATAAATTTTACTTCTGAGAATAGGTAAAAGAATTCTTTTGAATCTTGATATAGGTCCTCACCCACCCCCACCTCAATCTACTATTCAAAGAGTAACTAAAGGGATTAGATCCTTCAGTGGCTTCCCGTGATTCCTTCACCAGGAACCCTCAGCAGAGGCTGAGCTACGACTACCTTGGCACCCTCCACCCTTCTCCGTATTCTCTATGTTATAACCACATTGACGTTTTGTTGTTGTTTCTCAAACATGTAAAGCTCCTTTCTGCCTCCAGACTTCACACACATATTGTTCCACCTTGAATCTAATCCTTCACCCCCCACCTTCCAAATCCAGCTAATTCCTAAATGTGATTTCTGCACAGTAGCCAATTCTGGATGAGGCTCCCTTGTTCTCACTTTCCTACCATCTTTACCTGTCCTTTTACCAACTGATTACAATTTAAATTATGTAATGACATAATTCTTCATGTGCATGCATTTATCACCTATTGTAGGCTGTTTCATTAGCCTGCAAGCTCCTTGTGGTAAAGTGAGGGGGCTTGCTGAGGCAGCTGTTTCTCTCCTTTGCCAATGAACTTTGCACCCTGCCTGACACAATATAAGCATTTAGAAAATTGTTTCTGAGAGAAAGAATGAATTTCAATAAAAAATGGGTTCGGTTTACAGCACATGGTTTTATGCAACACGTGGCAAAGTGGGTTCTGGTGGGAGCTGGTAATATCCTTTAAACCATGTGACTGAGCAAATGATTCTAGTTGACTCTTGTGTTTTTAAATCTGTGTTACATACTGTTTCTGTCCCAGACTCTGCTGGAAGTCTACTGCTTGCTCGTAGGCTCATAGTCCCAGTGACAGATGGTTTTAATCTTTGCTATTTGGCTCCCAGAATGGGTGTATATTACTAACTCATGTATTCTCTCCAGTATGTAGAAAATGACTCTAGTGGCCATGCTCTCTGAGGAATCAGATACTTTCTGGGATCCACATGGAGAAAGGTTTTAAATGCTTTCTGGAGGGAAAAGCCACTTTATTCTTGGAATCCTTGTTGAAAAAAGATCCAATTCTGAAAAGCCAAAATTGTGTAAACCATTAAATAATTCCAGGCAGCGATAGCTCAGGACTTCATTTTTAGTCACCTCCCCCAGTACTCTGAAGGGCACACACATATATGCACATAGATACACAGTGCTGGTGATGTTTTCTGCTTCTTTTGACATGAGAAATTAGAATTCTCCTTGAGGATGGAAAGAATCCTTCTTCAGTTTCTAGCATACCCTAAATCTCTATCGTGGCGCTTATCAATTTGTAGTAATATTTTATTTTATTTTCATACCAGTCTCTCCAACTCTTTCAGAGGCAAGAAACTGTCTTTGCTCTTTTTTATCCCCAAGACCTGGCCCCCTAAAAAAGGGTCCATAATAGGCACTCAGTATTCATTGAATGAATCACAGATAATAAGTATTTATGTTGGAAACAGCCTGAGCTGGAATCAACCACCCCTTGTCTATTTCAACCAGGCAAAATAGAACTCAGAAGGCACTCAGGGAATAACTCTCTCTTATGTAGCATCTATTCCTTTAAACAAAGGCCTAAGGTTTTCCCAAACCAAATAACCCTCAGAAGATTTTCCTATGTGGATTTATGCCAGAATGTTTCTGGTCCATTAGTTGGCAAATAGGACTCCTTAATAACTGCAAAGGAATGATAAAATTCTGTTCAAAATATAATGGAAGCTGCAGGGGATTGTATATTCATTTTTTTATAATAGGAAAACTTGAATCCTCAAATAACAGAGTGTTGCCATGTTAGCTTCCTCCTGAGAACTGAAATGCAAACTGAGGAGAGCAGAATGGTGTGATTAGTGTCAGAGCCACTGGAATCTGCAAAGCCCCCACTCTTAACTGGGACAACAGGATTCAGCTGATAACTTAAAGTCTCCCGACCTGTGTCTCTATGTTTCTTACTTAGTTTTTTGGAGAATTCGTATTCCAAAATCATTGTTTAAAAATCTCAAATATACGGCAGTAGGTTGCTCTATATCAAAGAGTAGATAAATGCAATGAGGAGTGTATTAAAGAAAACAGAAAGAATGAAAGGAAGGAGGAAAGAAAAGAAAAAAATATAGAAGGGGAAAAAAGGAGAGAGAGAGGGAGGAGGAAAGAACAAAGGATGCGAGGATGGAAGGGAACTATTGAAATATTTGGTAGAGCTCCTCCACAACTCGGACGCTTTGTATGTGCAGTACTTCAATGTCCTTCCTAGGTAAACAGCAATGCCTTTCCTTTTTATTAGCGCTGCTGCGGCTGCTGTTGCTTACAAAAGATTCACAAATCAAAATAGACTCAGTTAGCTTTTCAATAATTCTAAAAGGCGGGGAACACTGCCGGAGAGGGATAGCACTCCAGTATCCTAACAAGGAGTCTTGTTAGCAAAACAAAGTGTGAATTGCTTAGAGATAATTCCCTGCGGTCGGTAATTCCACTGGGTGCCTTCTGTGGCAGCACATGCTATTTCTAAAGACCAATGCCGTTGAACAATATATGTCAGAAGAAATATGAAAAAGTTGATTTTTGAAACGTTTATTCTTCTAGATTTTTCTTTATGTCAGCATGATTCATACCTATTGGTTCTTAGCCTGGAGCACCTAGCACACCCAGGAGTTGAGAAGCAGGATGTGGATAATGAATAGGCTGCATAAGCAGAAGTCCATATACCCAGTCAGTGGTAAAGGCAAGTGCAGAGTTGCAAGCCTGCATTTTCATGGATTATTTCTATTATTCTCTCTTTCAAGGGAAAACAGGAAAAGGAGAACTAGCAAGAGCTTGAGTGACAAACGCCTGGATTCAGATTAGAAGACTGTTCATTTGCCTAGTGCTTCGTTCCTGGAAATTGCGCTGCAACTGCCTGATTAAGGTATTTGGAAAAATCAGAAACATTGATAGGTGTTGTTGATGATCATCCCCCATCCCTATACATATCTTGTGATATGTGGGGGAAAAAGTATTTGTGCGGAAGATTGGAGAACTATATCTCTTACTCTAAAAAAATGCTTCTATAATATTAAAGGAAATATTAGTATTTGTCCCATCTTTTGAAATTACTAGTATTAATGCCTTTGAGGTGCTAGTTTAGTTTTTGGGGCGCTGATGACTTATATACCATTTTTGCTTTCTCCACTCTCATTTTGTACTTCATCCAATCCAAAGTTGTCATGGTTCATTATCTGTAGATGATCTTGAGCAGCCTTGCATTCTAAAAGAATATGCCATGGCATCTGCTTCTGTGCTTTTGTGCCCTGCTGTACAGATGATATTTTAGCAAGAGTATTGGGTAAGAGAGTGGGAGTGAAGGTGGAACTTGTCTAAGTGTTTCTTTGTGCCTACTATGTCTTATTCCCTCATATGTGCCTAATTCAACAAGGAGGTACATATATCACATCGTGACTATTACATATGTTAGAGTACGTAATTGGGGTTGTAAAGTATCTGCTTGAATGTCTTAACTAATGAATTCCATCAAATTCAATTATCATTCTTAGACTCTTCATTAACCAATCAAATTGCCTATTTGGTCTAAGTCATTTCTAACACGCTTTCACCAGGCATAAACACAATTCTATGAAGTAAATTGAAGGTGATTTAATTACCTCACTCATCATTATTTGGAGTCACGTGTTACTCAAGTTTTGGATTTCTAAAGAATCTCCTGTCATGTTATTCTCATTGTATACAGAAAAATAATGTTACACTGTGAGACTATGCCTTGAAGACATCATTCTACTATTTGCATCTTAGTTTTTTCCTGAGGAAGTTGACTACAATGGGTCTCCATAATGAAAGTCATATAGAAATAAACCAACTATACCCTCCAATAAATTCACCGACTTACTCAGTAAATCTGTCCAGTAGGCTTGTGTTATATTGCAAGTCCTCCACCTTTTGGGAATGAGCTATTTCCCTACTAGAAGTTTCTTCTATTGCTCATGCGGTATGGTAGTAAGTATAGGATCATAGTTATTATTGTTGAAACATGTTTTTTCTAATTTTCATAATTTCTTTACATGGATTATTAAAACAAAAACAAAGTAGTTCTGAAAATGCATATATTCAGAATCAAAAGTACTTTAGTTTCCTAGGAAATAATTGTCACAGTGCTAATGTATAATGGTTAGTTCAGTCATTTTATAATGAAGGGCATGTGCTGATGTTCTGACAGTGTGGTTCCTACCATACAGTTCTTAGAATATTTTCATTTTATTCTCTTCTACTTTGATGCCTTTTAGGAACAATTTTATGTTCTAGTCTGCAAATATTTTGAGAAATATCTCAAAATGCAACCTGAAGCCAACCTACAGAAGTATCTATTCCTGTGTTCTATGTCAGACTTACTTAAATCAGAAGGCTTGGGAGTGGGCTCTAGAACCAGCATTTTTTATCAGGTTTTTTTTTTTTGTAAGATTTTATTTTTTTCCTTTTTCTCCCCAAAGTCCCCCGGTACATAGTTGTATATTCTTCATTGTGGGTCCTTCTAGTTGTGGCGTGTGGGACGCTGCCTCAGCGTGCTTTGATGAGTAGTGCCATGTCCGTGCCCAGGATTCGAACCGAGGAAACACTGGGCCGCCTGCAGCAGAACACGCGAACTTAACCACTTGGCCACGGGGCTAGCCTCTAGAAGCAGCATTTTTAAGTATGTGCATCAGATAATTCCAAAGTTTAAGAACCACTACTCTACACTATGAGAACAGGGAAATGGCTAAGAGGAAAACATTGTAAAACGATAGACATATAATTGATATCAAAAATAAAAATATTGAAATTAAATTTAGATTTGGAATTTTTCCTACATATTTATATTTCCTGGGACTGTACAAAGGATTTTAGACTGTTTACTTTATTTCCCCTTTCATCTGAATCTTAAATGTTTTGAAATTAAAAATGTTAAGGAAATGGATGTCTATTAATTTAAAAGCTTCCCAAAGTTGCCGAATAATAAAAAAAGGTATTAAATTCATAATTTGTACAATTAATTATTTTCACATTTGGATCTTTAGTTTTACAAAGCTTTCTAAATAACAAGTCATTCTTTCAATGTTAGATGTATCTAATAAGCACTACTTCTTTAAGAATTCTAACCTATATTTTTGTTAGGGTTTCTGTTGAGACAACTCCTATGGGTGTTGAACTTTCAGAAGATAATTTGTTGGTACAAGTAAGTTAAACCTTTTGGACTGAGGATTCCCCATAAGTGAGGGTTCCATAAGCTAACATTTCTATGTTATCTAATTTTAGTAAGAACATTTTAGTAATTTTAGTAAGAGAATTTTCCCATAGTTTTATTTTTAGTGTAAATGATTTATACATTGCTTGCCAACTTAATATGCCAAACTGTGAAGTAAGTATACACTTAAGTGAGAGTTAGGAGACAAAGAGCTGTCTTCTGAGCCATGAAAAGACAGAATGTTGTGATTACCTCTGGCACTGGATGAAAGCAAACAGCGACATTAGTTCTAGCAGGAAAACTGCAGAGAGTGTTTGACCCATAAATTTAATTCTTGCTTCCTACATGGTAAACTCCACTGAGACAAGGGTCTAAAAAGGAAAAATGGTCAAAATCTTTAGGTTTTCATCTGAACTTACTTTATGAAGTAAATGTGTCTTAAAGTGACTGGAATAATTTACATTTTTCTCCCAAATCCATAGCAATACTTTTATAAATAAAAGAAATCCCTTGTTTTCAGCAAATTTCAAAGATCACATATATAATACAGCCAGGTGCAAACTTCAATTGGATCGTGTTTCAAAGTTTAATTTATAAGTTAAATAGGACTCAAAACATTTTTTCACACAAAAGCAATACTCTAAATGATGTTAGATGCTCAGATTCAACTTGTTAAAATCTACAGTTATAGTCAAATCATATGATTTGTAAAACTAGGGCTTTGAAGTGAAAAATAATAGAAAACAATACTATATGATTCTAAAAATGAAACCAATTAGACAATTTTTTTAAAATTCTTGTTTACTTTCAATATCACTGCTAGAGGAAAGCAAATTTCATTATAAGTAAATGAGAAATTGAAAGACAGGATAGAAGGTTTTTCTAAAACACAGACAAAGTAGATATAACATAAGCAGTATTCTGAGTAGGGGAAGATGAGATGGAGGGAGCAGATGCTGGGTAGCCCTAGAGTGTGAGGGACAAAATGGTCTCCAATACGGAAAACCAAGCAGGATTAAACTAGCTCTTAAACAGAGAGGATTCACGTTAATGGTTATGTTTACAACTTATGAGAACTGGTGTGTTCAATTATTTTAAAGTGACTAGATATTTATAATCATTACACATCCATTTGGAAAGCAGATGAACAGAGGAAATGTTTAAGGAGAAACAATGAGCACGAATGCTAACTCAGTGAGCATCAAATGAGTGGTGCGAAGAGGGAACCAGTGAGTCTCATAGCCTTCTATAAATGGCTTTTTCTCTGAATTACTCAATCCACCACTCAAGGCTTTATTGAACTACACATTCTAAAGAATTCTACCCTCTGTGTCTTTCAAAAAGATAAGCATCAAGTGTTCCAGGAGAACAAATATACCAATTTGCTGCATTTACCCATACAGTTGTTCCTTTAATTGACAAAATATTTATTGAATACCTGTTGAATACCTACCTATTGAATATTTACCAAATATTTATTAAATAACCACTATTTATTGAATACTGCATATTAGGCATTCTGCTAAATTTGCTACTTTTGGCCCAGACATTAGATTAGATAAAGAATATTTTGTGCTATCTGAATTTTAGTATTTTATGTTTTACTATTTCTCTTTATTTTCTGTTCATTAAATTTGGATGGTTTGAGACAGCAAGTAGCATCTGTGCTTGGGGATGGAGGACCATGAGTGTGAATAACCCAGTGAATAAGGCCCAAAAGAGGGTGTATCATCTTATTCCTCCCCTCTTCTTTGGCTTTCAAGGAGGTCTTAGCAGCCCCGAGAGGAGCCCCCTTTACTTCCAGTTAACCTAAATAACAAGTGTGAGAGGTGTAAAGGCAAACAGAACTATTTCCTCATGATTAAAATTCTCCAAAGAAAAATTAATAATTTCAAAATAAAGGACTGTAATGGTGTAGCATCTCTTGATTTGATCTAAACCTCACTACTAGGCTACTCTGCAGTATAAGAAGCAAGAAATTAGAAAGCCATTCTCGTGAAGGCACCCATAATTCTTTATCAATTCTAGTTTTCAGTAAAATAAAATGCCTAAAAGGAAAGTTTCCAGAATCTCTATTAGTATTTAGGTTGAGGTACAACAGAAGTCATCACTTAAGTTTTTAAAATCCCTCTCCACCCTAGAATTTCAACTGGGAAAAAAATTGTTTGTTTTCCATCAAAGTTGTTGAAAGGGATTTCTCACTGTAAAACACCCCTCTTTTCCATTTCATTCTCCCAGAACAAGAGCAAAAGATAAGGTGAAGTTTTGACAACATTCAAAGGAGAATCTTAGGACAGGAATGGTCAGTGCCTGTGTGGAGTTAGCTCAGTCTCTGTTTTGCCACTTTCAAAAACTACCATGAAAACCTGATATCAGAAATCTCAAGAGTCCGTTGCACCCCTATGTTCATTGCAGCATTATTTACAATAACCAAGATGTGGAACCAGCCAACATGCCCAGAAACTGATGATTGGATAAAGAAGATGTGGTATATATACACAATGGAATACTACTCAGCCATAAAAAAGACAAAATTGGCCCATTCACAACAACGTGGATGGACCTCGAGGGTATTATGTTAAGCGAAATAAGCCAGTCAGAGAAAGACGAACTCTATATGATTCCACTCACAGGTGGAAATTAGTATATTGATAGGGAGATCAGATTGGTGGTTACCAGGGAAAAGGGGGGGTAGG